GTGGACACAATAATAATTATTTTTTGGTTGAAAGGCTCAAAGCTAGCTAGCTGCTGGGCTGCAATTCAAATCCAATGCATGCTTTGCTACATTGTTACTCGTACCGCAATTATCTCAGTATATGTACTCGTACCGCAATCAGCCATTCAATTTTTTATTCTTTAATTCCTTTGCTCCTTGTTCTTTTTTAACCTTCTTCATTTTAAGAAGCAGTTGGCCGCTTATTCTTCAATCTCTCGATCACATCGTCTATCCCCAGCTCTCTGGCACAGAGAGAGACAGAGAGAGAGAGAGCGAGAGAGAGAGAGAGAGAGAGAGAGAGAGAGAGAGAGAGAGAGAGTTTTGATTGATTTTCAAATACGTGGCTTTGATCTCTAATTATTTACAATCCTCTCATTGAAACCTGTGAACATCTGGAACACATGACTATTTATGTTAAGAATCAGTAAATAAAATCCCGCGCTCTGGCGCAGAGAGAGAGAGAGAGAGAGAGAGAGAGAGAGAGAGAGAGAGAGAGAGAGAGAGAGAGAGAGAGAGAGAGTTTTGATTGATTTTCAAATACGTGGCTTTGATCTCTAATTATTTACAATCCTCTCATTGAAACCTGTGAACATCTGGAACACATGACTATTTATGTTAAGAATCAGTAAATAAAATGTACGTAACGGCAATATTTGGCACTGAACCTGATCAATATCATAGGCAAATTAATCCTAATCCAAGTTATTATGCAAGATTTCAATATACTCTAATTCAAATATTTATTAAATTTTACTGTATCTTTGTATTTTCAAGAAAATTAGTCTTACAGAAGCCAACGGTGTTGCATACATGCTTGCTAAGTTTGGTTTAGAAAATGAGATGACCTGTGTTTTGTTTGGTTTGAGGTGCCTCTTAAATTTATTCAGGACACCATATTACATAATGTTATGAGTCGGAGTCAGGTTATTTGTCCCCCGGTGTAATTTTTCAAGATTTCAATAAAACTTTCCTTCTATTGTCAAGTTTCTCTCAGAAACATGAATGAATATCCCGTCCATGCCTTTTACTAATCATTAGTTGATCAGAATCAATCCACTTTAAAAAATTAAAATTAAAATATATAAAAATTAAAAAAATTAAAGAAAAACTATATATCTTTCCAGACTGGGGAATACCGGGGTTATATGGTGAAAATTTGGCAGAAATAGCTGGGATTGAACTTTAATATGTTTTGCTATATCATTTTGATGAATACGTTTGGGTTGGACTTTAATCAAGGGTTGCATTGTAAATGCGAAAATGACAAATTATGTTTATGGACTTTCATCAGTTTCGTTATTTTATTTATCCTCCTCTTCTACTGCTTGTTAGCGGTGTAAGAGGATTTTTTTAAAATAAATAAATATATATATATATATTTTCCGGCAAATTATGTTTTGTCTCAAGTAAACTTACCCAACAAAGGTTTTGTCGTCAAAGAGATTAACCTCTGGCGGCCAAAAAAATCGCCATAGTGGGTTTTCTATGTGACGAATGGTTTGCCATGTAAGCTTCAATCTGTCCCGGCGAAGTACCAGTTGTCGAGAAAGTAATTTTCCGGCGCTAGTTAACCAACCAAATTTTCGTTAAGATAGACCTATCCTGACGAAAATGCGACAAAAATATTTCAATCTTACAACCGAAAAATGATAACGCGTGCATGGGGTATTAGAAAAGCTCAAAATGAATATCGATAAACACCTTTTAATATACCTTTAAGACATATGATATGTGTATGCAAAGATATAAATGGTTTAATACCTAGAGAATTGTCGTGTGCTTAATGGAATATCATTCAATAAGCTAAAGAGTTAGAATAAATATAAGCTTAATTTGTTTTCTGTTCGTTATTTAATTATATTTTTTATATGATAGATGTGATCAATTAAGCTAATTAAATAGACCAACTGAATTAAATCTCCATAGGTGTAAATGATCGACTAAATCCCCTTCTTTAATCAGCGAAGCATATTCCTTATAATTAAAACAACCAACTAGGGTTTTAGTTTTATAAGATAGTTACTTGATGTCAAGGGGTTGCTACTAGCTAGCTCTCTAGCTTTAGCTTATAGCTCGGTACTTAATGCATGATATCATGATATGCTTATTCCTAGTAAGGGCACCTAAAATTCCATGGAACTATATTTATTATTTAACGTGCTACATATAGGTATAGGTACAGGTCGCACCTTTTTTTCTTTCAAGAAACCTCGGCTAATGTTATTAACCACTTGAAAATAATACTTAGCTAGTAGGCTAGACAAAACAAAATGTTATTAACCACTCGAAAATAATACTTATAAGCTAGAAGGCAGCCCATTTTGCACCAGAATATTTTTTAGGTAAAAGTTGAAAACTTATTAAGAAGCTAATTTGCAAATTGAATCAATCAAAAGTTTGCATTTATGAAGCTGATACTTTGAGTAACATTGTAGCTGCGGGATGGAGGAGTTTACAGTATATATATATATTTTGAACAAAGAAACAAACAATGAAATAGGAACAATCAAGTCAGATGCTACAGGCTTTAATTTAATAACAATGAAGTCAGTAAGGCCTTTGCTGGTGCCATCAAAATTAGTATAGAATGAAGACAAATCTAGGAGTTTATAAAAAGAAAATAGCAAAATCAGAGGCTTATAATTATTAGACCTGGAGATCAGAATGGTACATCAAAGTCAAACTATTTACACCATAAGGATAAAAATAAGTCCTTCCCTTTTAAACTTCTCCAATATTTGTTGATTTTAAATAACGTTACAAAAACAAGTCAAAGTGATCTATTTGCACAAGCTCTCAACTAGCAAAAACAGTTGGCTCGGTCGATAGTCTAACCAGGTAACCTTACTCTCTCAAACTCCAAAAATTGTTACAACGGATTTTTGCATGAATTTTTATTCGTCTTTAACTTAAAATCATGAAAAATATCCTTAAGCTTAGCTGAAGAATAATGCGTTACTATCTCTGTAATATAGATGAATTAATCTGATATCGTTTTTGTAATTGCAAATTTGCAATGAGGGGAGAAATGCAACATAGAGAAATTCTCGTATGCCACTTTTAATAGAAGTATTTTTTGAAAAAGGAGGGAGGGAGGGAGGGAGGGGTTAGTTTGACTTAAGAGCGTTAAAAGTGGCATCACACACGATTGCAGCCCGAAAGTGGTATCATGTTTGACTTCTAGACATAGGTGGTAGCTAGTCAGTTTATACGTTTTTTTCTTTCTATTATTATATATCAAAACTCTTTTACGTTATCACCAATAATAGAATGAAAGAGAGTAATAATTTGTACGGAAAAGGTAAAAGTTATTGACAGGCAGAAACTAGAAAGTCAGCCCAGGCAGCGCAGTTCGGCCACAAGAATCCTAAGAAGAAGGAAAAAGGTTAAATTTGTAAATACAGCCACGTAGCCGGGAAATGACCCTAAGCCGTGTAAACGGGGGACGGGAGGGGGAGGGAAGAGTGGAGCTGGTAATAAAAGCTGAATGGGTGGGTGCACACCTGGCTGTGACTGTACCATTCTATATTAGTATATTTAGTATACTGTATAGCAGGAGAGAGAGAGAGGAAAAAAAAAAACTAGAGTTAATAGTATTATTAGTCTTTAAATTTAGACTCAATTTGCATTTGAGTCCTTTAATTTTCAAAATCGTTTATGTGGTCTTTCAACTTTAGTTTTGTTAGGACAAATGGTCCTGCCGTTAATTTTATTAATTTTTCTGTTAAATACAAAGATAAAATAGTATTTTTGTATTAAATTGATTATAATATGAATAAAAAAATTAAAAGTAAACACTCTCTCTCTCTCCTTCTATCCCGATTTCTACTCCTCTCAAATTTGATTTTTCTTTTTTGTTTTTGTTGGTTTTTTATTTCTTTTATTGTTATTTTAAAGATATGATTTTGTTTTCATTTTCTTGGTTTTAATATAAAAATTTATTTTGTCCTTGCATTTAACAGAAAAAGTTAACAAAATTGATGATATGACCATTTGTCCTAACGAAAGTGAAGTTAAAGGACCACGGAAACGATTTTGGAAATTGAGGGACTCAAATGCAAATCAAGTCTAAATTCAAGAACTAATAAAAAATTAACCCAAAAAACTAATAATATTATTATTAAGCCCTCCCTCCCTCCCTCTCCCTGCCTCGAATGGGGTGAGTGAGTGAGAATTTAATTTCTTCTGACGAACTTGGCTCTCTTTCTCTCTCTTATTTTCTTCCTTGGCTTTGGGTTTGGGTTGGTGGTGTTGTTAGATAGAAGCATTGCTTTTAAAACTCATCATCGGTTACATTTTAGTAGAGGCGGTAGACATACAAATCATAAATCACAAATCAAACAAACAGTGAAGAAAGTGGCATAGTCATCCTCTCTCTCTCTCTCTATTTCTTTCTGGGGTTCTCTTCTCTCTCTCTCTCTCTCTCTCTCTCTCTTTGTTATTTGTTATGGTAACAGTTAATTACGCCTCCAAGATTTCATCCAAGTGCCATAACTCACTATCCAAAATCAAGCCGGTATCTTTGATATCTTGGCAGCCGTTTAAGCTACCAAATGAAATATGAAATCAAATCAAATGAAATATATGAAATCTTGGTTTGGTGCTGAGTTGATGATGCCTGTCCTGGGCTTCCATAACTAATGCTCTTCCCTCTCAAAACACCCCATTTCCTTCTCATTTCCTTAAACCCCCACAAACCCAGTTTTTCATAACCCCATTATATTATACCCCAAACAATACAAAGTCAACACACCATATAAATATACACTCTTGTTTGCTTGCTGTCTCTCTCCCTCTCTCTCTCTCTCTCTCTCTCTCTCTCTCTTGGCTTATGTCAATCAAATATTGCTTTGCCATGGGACTACTAACTTGCTAGATGCTCCGCTCATCATCGTTAAACCAAACCATTTAGTCTAGCGCTTAGCTTCCTTGGTACCTGCTACTTCTCCAGTAGGAGGACACAAAAGCTTAAGGAGAAAATGGAGTTCGGCAGTGGAGGAGGCGCTGGCTCTGGTGGAGACCACGATGCCTCTGACTCTCAAAGAAGGAAGAAGCGCTACCATCGTCACACTGCTAACCAGATTCAGAAGCTTGAAGGGTAAGTCTAGTAGTTGTACTTGTTCGTTTCACTGCTTGTCTTAAGACTTTTTGTCCGTGACACTGTCTGGTTTATGGGGTTGCTTGTGCGAGTGATCGGAACGATGTTAATCTGATTGCATGTGTTTGATATGAAGAATGTTCAAGGAGTGCCCTCACCCAGATGAAAAGCAAAGGTTGCTGTTGAGCAGAGAGTTGGGGTTGGCTCCTCGCCAGATCAAATTTTGGTTTCAAAACCGGAGGACCCAGATGAAGGTGCTCACTCACTCTCTTCTGTTCTAACTAACACTTGTACTCAAAAACCGGTCCTTTCTTTTTTCTCTTTTTAATTTGTTTGTGCTGATTAATTCTTATACTAATGAAAACACGCAGGCCCAACATGAAAGAGCTGATAACTGTGCGCTTCGAGCAGAGAACGACAAGATCCGATGTGAGAACATTGCAATCAGAGAGGCCCTCAAAAATGTCATTTGCCCAGCTTGCGGTGTCCCTCCCCTCAATGAAGATTCCTATTTTGATGAACATAAATTGAGAATGGAGAATGCCCAATTGAAAGAAGAGGTGTTCTTTCTTTAATTTCCCATTTCAATTTTGTCATAAAGTTCCAACTTGATGCAATTTTCTCTTAAACTAGTCTATTTAATTATCTTTCATTAATTTGGTTGCTGTCTCTCTTGTCCTGCTTTCCCCGCTTTGCAGCTAGATAGAGTATCTAGCATTGCTGCCAAATGCATTGGGAGGCCAATTTCCCAGCTCCCTCCTGTTCAGCCTATTCATGTTTCGTCTTTGGAGTTATCAATGGCAAGTTTTGGGGGCCATGGGGTGGGTGGCCCTTCCCTTGATCTTGATCTTCTTCCAGGGACTACTTCATCTACCATGCCCAGTTTGCCTTACCACCCTACCGTTTTATCGGACATGGACAAGTCCCTCATGACTGATATTGCAGCAAATGCCATGGAAGAGTTGCTTAGGCTTTTGCAGACCAATGAGCCTTTGTGGATTAAGTCCGCTACTGATGGGAGGGATGTTCTTAATCTTGAAAGCTATGAGAGGATTTTTCCGAGGGCTAATAGTCATTTGAAAAATCCCCATCTTAGAATTGAAGCATCAAGAGACTCTGGTGTGGTTATCATGAATGGTTTAGCATTAGTCGAAATGTTTATGGACCCGGTAATTTCTCTCCTCCTCCTCCTCCGCTCCCCAACTTTATATTTGCAAGTATCAGGCAGTATTTATCTTAATTACCTATATCCAAGTGTTCAACAATTTTATGTTTGCAGAACAAGTTTGGGGAGCTATTTCCAACAATTGTCTCAATGGCAAAGACAATCGAAGTAATATCATCTGGAATGCTGGGCAGTCAGAGTGGGTCTTTGCAGTTGGTAAGTGGCTAGTAAGAAAATCTTTTGATTGTCTTTTGCATTGTCTAGTTTTATGGTAGAATTATGTTTGGATAAGTTCTCACTCGAAGGATATTTTTGTAGATGTATAAAGAGTTGCAGGTGCTTTCACCGTTGGTACAAACTCGGGAGTTCTACTTCCTTCGTTATTGCCAGCAAATTGAGCAAGGCCTGTGGGCAATTGTCGATGTTTCTTACGATTTTCCACGAGATAACCAGTTTACAAATCAATGTCGATCTCATAGGCTTCCTTCCGGGTGCTTGATTCAAGACATGCCTAACGGATATTCCAAGGTTTGTTTTGTTTAACAAGCAAAAAGTATTTGAAACACAATATTTAAGTAATGTTATAACTTCACTTCACTTCACTTAACTTGCTCATATGCATATCAAATGCTAAAAAATAGGTTTCATGGGTGGAACATGTGGAAATAGAAGACAAAGCCCCAACTCATCGGCTTTATAGAGATCTTATTCACAGTGGATTAGCATTTGGAGCTGAACGATGGCTTGCTGCTCTTCAGAGAATGTGTGAAAGATTTGCATGCCTAATGGTTTCAGGAACTTCTACTAGAGATCTTGAAGGAGGTAGCTTAAATGTTTCAACACCATATAGAGTAATTCTATGATTATTAACTTTCTATCCTAGCAGCTTGATCTCAACATTCTTATTTTTATTTTTTGAATAATCAGTGATTCCATCGGCTGAAGGCAAGAGAAGCATGATGAAACTTGCCCAAAGGATGGTCAACAACTTCTGTGCAAGCATTAGCACATCCAACGGCCATCGATGGACCACCCTTTCTGGGATGAACGAGGTTGGAGTGCGAGTCACCATCCATAAGAGCACGGATCCTGGTCAGCCCAACGGTGTGGTTCTTAGTGCAGCCACGACCATTTGGCTACCAGTATCTCCACAAAATGTGTTCAATTTTTTCAAGGATGAAAGAACTCGACCTCAGGTACTTTTATGCTTGTTAGACAAACTCATACATACTGCCTATTCCAATTGGTAACTGTTATATCAATCGGATTAATTTGTTTTCCTCCAGTGGGATGTCCTTTCCAATAACAATGCAGTGCAAGAGGTTGCCCATATAGCAAATGGTTCACATCCAGGCAACTGCATATCTGTTCTAAGAGTAAGAAATAATAAGTTATTTATTTGCTATTTCCATTGTTACAATGCAACTCCTTTGTTTGTTTTGTTTTGTTTTTTTTTTAAGGACTAGTTAATGTGTAATAATAACTCGCTTGTACTATGAAATAATTGCTTGTATAGGCTTTCAACACTAGCCAGAACAACATGCTGATGCTGCAGGAGAGCTGCATAGACTCATCAGGGTCACTTGTTGTGTACAGCCCTGTTGATCTACCATCCATCAACATTGCAATGAGCGGTGAGGATCCTTCTTACATCCCTCTGCTGCCATCAGGATTCACCATTTCACCGGACGGAAGGCCGGAGCAAGGAGATGGTGCCTCAACAAGTTCTTGCAACGTACATGGAAGTGGTGGATCACTAGTTACAGTGGCATTTCAAATCCTAGTGAGCAGCTTGCCATCCGCTAAGCTGAACTTGGAGTCGGTGAATACTGTGAATACTCTTATTGGCACCACTGTCCAGCAAATTAAGGCAGCCTTGAATTGTAATAGTTCCTGATGATCATGGAACAACTGTTTTCTCTCCTCTCTCCTCTCTACCCTCTACCATCCTTAAATAGGGTGATCAGAAAAGTGTTCATTCAGACAGTAGTGCTTGGGCAGCCTGCTGGTGCTGGTGCTGGTGGTATTCAATGTGGGACAAGTATCTGGGTTAGTTGGGACTTTGAATGCCCTCTCATCAAGAGCTGAAGCTCTTCATTTACTGCTCCTGCTGCTTCTTCTGCTCCTTCTGCTGCTAGTAGAGCTGTTTTTGCTTCCAAGGTTCATTACTTCAGTACAATTTTCACCAACTACAAACTTTTTTCTTTTTTGTTTTTTTCTTCTTTTTTGGTGGGGCAGGTTTTATTTTCCTTGTTTTTGTTATTTTAGCAATGTTAG